ACATGGTTCCGTACTATGAAGAATTTAAGGATGTGATCGTTTACGACCATTGATATAGCACCTCATGGATTGGTGACAGTCTGTTTCCCGATGATTAGACTTTAAACTTCTTCAGCATTTCAAACCTGCCGTTTTAATCCACTACTAGTAACTGTAGACAGGACGAAGTCTCGTGAGCATTAGAACAGATTGAATAATACTCCTACTCGTTACTCAACAACGGATGGACCTTAGCGCGATTCAAAGTGTGTTGGACATTCAATTATGTTGTCTGAGCTTTGTGTTTTCTACTTGATAGTTGCCTATAAGTATTTGTAGAAACTGACAATATCTTTTCTGGGAACTGTAATGAGTAGGAATTTTGACTCAAATTCTTTTTCAAGATGTCGTCTGCCGCATCCGACCATTTAAATTATGTAGTTCGTGACATTTGCTTCCCTATTGGTTTCATATTAGTAGAACAGTTCAAGTCCTCAAAACGCATACCAAATTAACACTGGGTAACTTCAAACAAGAGCAAAAAATGTTGAATAATATTGAGGTATGGTGGTGGTTAGAGGTGGTCAACAGGATTTAAATCATGATGCATTCGATCAGCACTAAGAAGGACTTGACATGCATGACATTGATCACCACCCAGTGATCAATCAATTGTGAATGTTGAATAATGTCTGAACATTAAATTATTTTATCGTAGATTTGTTCTGAATATTATCCCAACATACTTTTATGAAATACTTGAACACATTTGAATTCCGTAGCACCCGAAAAGACTGTCATGATAAATAATAGAAAATTAGAACAACATATGTAAGCGAACAATTGTTTTCAATTAGATCGTCATCAGGCTTTACTCTAATATACATGAATATTTATATAAAAATGTTAGACCAATCAAGGCTATTTGAGTCAATAATAATCACAATGAAATAGAAATACGTTACCAAGCATAATAAGAGAAACTTCGTTAAATGCCTCACTAGTAGAGCAAATAAGATCTGTTCTGTTGATACTTTAAGTCAGGAACTGGAATTTATCTATAACTCACTGACTGAGATCGGCTACCCTGCTGCGTTCATCAAAAAGTACATGTATGATACAAGGAAGAAATCGGAGATTTTAACTGTTCGTAAGAAGCCTCTATACATAAAATTACCATTCAACGGGGATGTAGCTAGTGAAACTCTGAAAGATAAGTTACAAAAGTAATTAGTAGAACTTTCTACGCAGCCTATCTTGCATTGACTTTCTCGAGTCGACCAGTGATGTCTACTCAAACGAAGGATAAGTTACCTGAGTTGGCCTCCTCCATGTGCATTTATAAGTTCAGCTGCTCCTGTGGAGATAGCTATATCGGGCGTACTACTAGGCAACTTAACCAACGAATGAGTGAACATCTACCAGCATGGTTTGGAAAGGGCCAAATAAAAACAATACGCAGTTCTATCTTGGCACATCTAATTGATAGTGGTCATATTGTCGATAAATTGAAATCATTTCAAGTGACCTATTGTATAATTCCATCGTTTCCCAACGGAGTTCGCTCCCGTCTACTTCATATAGCAGAAGCCATAGGGATTCGTACATTCCATCCCAATTTATGTGTACAGAAGAAATTCGTAACCCCCCTATCCCTTCCATGGCCGTACATAACTTAATAATTGACATTATTATTATTTGTAAAAAATTTTATTTTGGTTATCATTTTTTGTTTGTTTGTAATTTTCTACCTCTTTCCGTTTGTATTCTTCACTATCTATTTACTTACATACTTCTTATTACGCAATGATTTTAATGTATTGTGATTATTATTCCAGACTATTTACCCACGTTTGACCTCCCTATTTCTTATGTTTAATTATTGATAAGACTTTTGTTATCGTAATTTACTATTCTTACTACTATCAGTACACCTGTCTTCCCACTATCAACTTGTACTTTTAACTATTATTATGCTTGGTAACGTATTTCTATTTCATTGTGATTATTATTGACTCAAATAGCCTTGATTGGTCTAACATTTTCATATAAATATTCATGTATATTAGAGTAAAGCCTGATGACGATCTAATTGAAAACAATACTGTTCACTTACTGATGTTGTTTTAGTTTTCACAATGGGAATCTTTAATATTCTAAATAATAGAAAGTAAAACTATTCAGACAGCTGGCTGTTATCGAAAAACAGAGTCTAATCTTGTAAAGATTTTAATAAGCGTTTATAAATTCCCTTAGTAATAAATTCATAGTCAGGCTTAACAACATCACTCATTCCGTTTTTTTGTGTAATTTATTACACTACTTACTAATAGTCAATAAGTTATATTGTTGTCCATCATTTTTTTAAATTGCAGCTAGCACTGGATTAGCTTTAATCGACTCATGATCTCAACTCTATAAAATTACTAAAATCTTAACAAAACCTCTTCTGCCAGTTAATAAGCGTTATTTAGTTTATCATGCTTTTGGTAAACAGTCCTCGTATGATTGTTGCAGGATATACTTTTTGTGATTATTCTTTAACTTGTTTAACCGTCTTAGGTTTCTAAGAAATCAAGATTTATCAGAAGGGTTTTGTGGAGATTTAGTATTTTTCATAGTTGAAAGCGTGAGTCAATTGAAGCTAGACTACCATGGAAAACCTGGACGAGTGCGGGATCGTAGATGCGCACTGCTGAGGAGTCCCATAATAGGACGAAACGGCCGTCCAATGTTTCCATGGTGGTCTAGCTTCAATTGACTCACGCTTTCAACTATGAAAAATCGAGATTTGTAAAATACATCAGTTATGTAATCGTGAGTAGTAGTAGTAGTAGTAGTAGCGTTTTAAAGACAAATCCTCTTGACATTTTCGTATAACACATCCGTTCACTCTGAATTACGATACTCCCATCAAACGTTCTTTATATAAAAAAGTCGACATGGACGCCATAATCTCCATAGTCACTGTCTAATTCATTAGACGTGGATTAATAAATGACTTATTCAATAGGATCAATTGTATTTGTACTAGATACCACAGAACGAGACCCGAAACTCTTAACTGAAACATTAATGAATAGCAGTTATTCATAGAAATTTATATACCGTTGGAAAGGTAGTAATACGATGAATTCTGTGACGTCTTTGGAACCTAACAAACGAGCCTATCTTACTTTACAATTTAGAGGTGATCCAAATAGTCTTATGTTAGAACGAACACTCAAATTAGCTACTAATAGAACATTTTGTGCAGCCCAGCACGTCATTATTGAAAATTCAAGGTCCATGCTTCACCAAAAACCTAAACAGCATATAAATGACTGTTAAATCCCATTGTGTCTATCATTTTACATGTATGCGCAGAAGCATATGCATAGAAGGAGTGGTCGTGAGCCACTAGTAGGGGTGGCAGAAAACATACCTAAGTTGTCACAAACACAAATGAATTCCAACGATTAAACAAAATCACAGGGTAGACAAATATCTTCCTTAACTGAGAAACATTTGGTTGAGACCGGTAATAAGGTTGATATCAAGTTAGCCTTTATAGTTCTGTACAAACGTTTTCAAGGGCGTATACTAAATTTTGTTGAAGCCTTGGGTATACGAAAACTGAAACCCTCTCTATATTTAAAAACAATTTGTTCTTATCCTTAACCTATCCTGGTAATAGATTTATTACCCAGCGTGGTTTTCACACTGTTCTTGTGTATATAATAATTATTATCTTTGTCTACCCTTACCTTTTAATTTGTCTAGTTGACCTTATATTTTTCATACATTATGTATTAACAAGTATATGTGCGATCAGATTGTTCGAAACATAGTGCACAAATATGTCACATAATTTTGATAACCTTCGTCCTCTCATCGCATTATCTAAATTCATAGAATACATGTATCTCAATGGCCTAGTTGAGATCCCTCGGATAGTGTAGGTTAAACTAGTTATAAAAATCAAATTATAAAATGGATCAACTTTTTTATGCAATTTTTAACCCGAAATTTAGTGATTAAAGGTTAACTGTCTAAAGCGAAGGACAGTAATTTGCATTGGGGATCATCACAAGTCTCCGTTATAAGCTCATGAGCAACATGTACGTTCTAAATGTATGGTGAGAATTCGGACAGGCTAACGATTCGTAATTTCATGTAACAGATTCTTATCACTCACATTCGGTGAGTTATATTTCATCATTTTTCAAAATCAGTGTGAATCTACACGAATACATGGAGAATTGAGTCAAATAAAAATATAGTGAGATTGAGGAGACCTACCAATTAAAATCGTCACATGTCATTTAGAACTTAAAAATCCAGTCACAAAATATCCCTCGAAAGAGAAAGATTGAAGTATACTTTATTAAAATATCAAATAAAATTCACATCAGGTTGATCCCTAAAAACACGACGACTAGGATGGATTGGGAGAAAGCAGAGTTGTTGTTCAGTGGCCCAGACAACTGGTTTCCAACTAAAATAACAAGTGAGAAGCCCACCACAACTATCAGAGATCAGCGTTTTACAGTGAAGCTCTGAATCACAAAAGAAAACGTATATACTTCCTGAATACCAAACTGTCAAGCAAAAGCAACGATGAAGGTAAATACCAGTGACAGAAACATATATACAGAAGGTAAAACTCAGATTTTATAAAGAATTTACAGTATATTTCTTAAAATAGTGACAAATTAAAAAAGGGTGAAAATTTATTTTTACAGTTTATATGTACATATTTACACAAGTGGCACGGTTAAAGAAACATGATTAGGAAGTTTTTTACTTAAATGACTGTATAGTATATGGGCTGGCAATAGGTTGGAAATAATCAGAAGGACAACGACACACTAGTTTACAACAACGCAGATCCCTCAGTACGTCTTCCACCATACCTAGAAACATAAGAAGTAAGAGAGAACAAATAACCTATTATGTAATCTGATGGTCGAAATTCTTCATCCCTGCAACCCGAAGCTGGGATCAGCCAAGTTAAGAAGCAGCAACTATCGCCAACCAAATCAGTAGCCAGTCCTAATATTTACATCAATAAAAACGACTTATTACCTCTTATTTGAGCATAGAAAACTTCACCATCAACATCCAATAGCGAAACTATATCGCCCACATGATACCAAACATTCTAGAAATGAGAGACTACTAAGATTAAGGAACTATAGACAACCTCATGATAGACACAACTGCGAAGGCTAATAAGAGCAGGAGGGTTTCCCAACTTTTGTGTCTGATGGACACTAAGGAATTATTATACAAATTACCTCTCTTTTAAGTATATGACGTCGGGAACGTGATTTTTGTGCGGTTCCTTTACTATTGTAGTTACCAAACAATCCTCGACCTCTGTTCGATAAAACTCTTGATCTCAAAGATTTCCTTGTTTGAGATGCTGGTTTTGTTTTTGGCAGACCAGAAACAAAACTGGATTCACTTCCGGGCTTTTTACATCGAGTCCTTGTTAGTGTTCGGGCAGACGTCTGGGAAGTCCCATCAGAATTAGACGCCTCTGATATGATATCTGGAACACCTACTAAGTGAGATAGAGTATAGTGAGTACTTCGAGCTTCCATATCGACATCAGCAGAAACCTTCTGGCTATCAATACACTGAAGCATAATCAAAATATAGTACCGCAATTGTTGAAAGATCACGAGTTGTTTCAGTGAATGAAAACACACTCTTCAATTTTCAATCTTTGAAAAAGACACAACGAGACTCAATCAAATTTCTGGGAAACTAAAATGGATTGAAAAAAACTAAATACCTTCTTTATGATCAAGTGTAGATCAACTGCCTTATTTCACTAATGGGTTTTGATGTTGAAGAACATTGAAAGAGCTTGGCTTTGAGGGATTTATCAAAAAAGGTTTTGTGTAGATTTTGGAAATTCTGATGGTTGAAATCATGAGTCAATTGAAACTAGACCACCATAGAAGGCCTGGAAGCACTGGATGGCTGTTTTGTCTTAGTGTGGGACTCCTCAACAGTGCGCATCCACGATCCCACCTCACGAGATTTTAACACAGGACCTACCAATCTCGTGCACGAACGCTTGACCCATTAACCATCAAACGGTGTTAATTTCTAATTTCAATCAATCCATTAAATCCAGAGAGAATGTTGAATTATAAGATGGAATACAAGTCTGAGCATCACGAAGCATACAGTAAGCGAAATTTTGCTTTCACTTAATTAGTCATCCACCATTCCTGTTGTAAGGAATTAGTTCATAATTGTGATAGTGATCTCTCAGAAGTCTCTTGAAGTTGGTTTTTGAACGATATATGGTATCATCTTTGAATACGTAGAGGATTAAATAGACTACTGTTATGACGGAGTGGTGACCGGAATGAGCATCCACTTTGGTAAGCGCACCTTAGATGGTTGCTTCATGTGGCCCTATAAAAACCCTCGAGTTCAGCTATTCTGTTGAATTTCTTGTTGTGGTGTAAACCTGCCTTATGTGGCTTGCTGACAACAGCTCCTGCTGGCATGGACAACCTACAGTAGATTTACCCCCAAAACCTGTAACACATTCTTCATAAAGTATCTTTCATCAGAGGTGTAAATGCAATATCTGGAGTAAGCAAGTATATAAAGTAATGTTGAGTAACTTTATGAGGTGCTTAGAAAATTAGTTTTGAAAAGCCAGTGAAATGTCATTGGGTCCTAGCCAAATCATCGAGCTGTCGGGACAAAAAGATAATCCATATTAGGTACTGACAGCGAGGTGTGACTTCAAAGTTTGCTGGTTCCTCACACCAATCACATTTCTTCGGAGTAGACCCTCACGCATTAGACACAGATAATCAACGTTAATGACCTACAGCTTGGTATTTGTAAGTGTTGAGGCTTCGATCGTCATTTACAGTTCACGTCTCTGGCAGATTTGGATCTTTTTGAAGTGTTCCCCGATTTCTAATCCTAACGCTTATGGTTTTCTATACTTTAACATCGTTCGAAAAAATGAAAAACGACAAATCCAGATTTGCTAGATCACCAATAAATATCAGGATTAGCGTAATCGGGCAGTGCACTCTCTCTGCAGTGAGGCTGTAAGATCAACTCGGTGGCATATGAATGAATTTGTGCAAAAGTGAAAAAACTACGATATTTACAGTTTGTATTATCAAAAAGCACAGTTGTGTTCAGGACCTGACATTTGTCATAGACAGTGGTACCATAATGTCATACCACACACTTGACGCAGCTCGGAGCTGTAGTGTGACTAATAACAACTAATAACTTAACTGTTATATGTGTCTGACACTTATCTACATGAATGACTATTGTCAGCAACTCTTGCAACTCAGTTACAAGTACTGCGGACATTTCGTTGAAACCAGATGATTTTACTTCACCACCATAGATTCAAACTGTAAATACTTCACTAAGTCACGAACCCACTGGGCTACCTAGGATTGGCCACAACTGTTGGTTAGAGCTTCCGAACAAAGACAGGCCATCGTTGTTCAGTTGAAGTTTCAGTTCGCTGAACTTGATTTTGCGTAGCCCGCTTTGGAGGCTCACAACTTTCGTGATCAGTTAGTATGTTGTGACTGGTGCTCATAAAATTTCAGGTGTCAAAGTTGTTGGAGATCGTATGTAATAACCCTCGCAAATCAACTAAAACATGTCTAGTTTGCATGCTGACTGCGGAACTATCTATCACTCATACTTAAAGTCTTACTAAAAATAGACGAAGTATCTGTATGTTGTAACATGCTTCGTTAATCGTTCACCTTGACAACCGTTATAATTCCAATTTTTACAGCGCATAAAACCAGAAGGCACAGAGAAGCTGCAAATACATTTTATTATCAAATGAAGCAGACCCAAAATTTACAAGCACATGAGCGAATATCAGCAAGCAACGAGCGAGCAGCAAGCGAGTGAGTAGCAAGCAATCACATAGGCAAGTAATAGTCAAATTTAGTAGGGGCACAGCAAAACAAAACAAAAGCTGATAATAGGATTCGCGTGTGCACATATATGAAGGAAGATACTTAAGCAAAAAACATTTTGACTAGAGTGTCATGTGCTCTAGTGGTCATACAGTACAGAGAATATGCAAATTGTTATCATCCAAATAACGATATCTGTTAAGTAAGTTATTAAAAAGGGCTTAACCAAAATTAACCCTAATCAAAACTGATTATAGGATAGTTGATAAAAGTAATTACAGATTCGACAAAACGATTAGAAGTTCACATTACCGTTTCAATATATTTGTAGATGTTTTGTGTTCACGTTTCCGAAGTGCGGCTTTTCCAGCAAAAGAAATAATACTGGCCATGGATGTTGCAAGCCAGGCTTTCTCACATGGCGCAAGAGATAATGTAAATAAGCGTGGGTGTCGATCAAAGAAAAGGGTGAGCTAAATGCACTCTAGATGTATGAGTTAGTGCCGTTTTTTGTTTTCACGATAGTTTCTGATGCACATTTATACCGAAATAATTATATTTTGTTTATTTGATTTTCAACTCGTTTTGTAAGTGTTAGCAGACGTCACTGTAAGTTTTTTTATTTGGAATATATCATTGTTAAACCATTTGTACACAATCAGTATTTTACATGGCATTCTGGACTAGTAAGTTGCATGAGTTATGACATTTGCTTGTTTACTGATGAGTAACTTTACTTTTTGTAGAACATTGTGAATGAATGATCAACATCAACCTAACGGATTTATCCAAAACACATGATCGATTGTTAATACCTGGAAAAAATTATATATTATTGTATAGTTTGTACTTCATTAAACTTCAATAAACATTTCCATGTATAACTCCTCGGTCTTTTATTTACGGCAATCCTGATTTATCTCGACAAAGCATTTATTGTCAACAACTATTGTTAAATTCTTTCAGAACTGAGTTCACATTGCAAAGTTAACTGGCAAAAATGGAATAGATGAGTAGAAACCTTTGGATACTTATTATTAAATCGCCTAACTTTTCTGTTATATCAGTAAAATCCTTAAAATTGTGGGGGAATTTCCGAGTTTTCGTGCAATTTCCCCATATTCATGAGTCAATTGAAGCTAGACCACCATGGAAAACCTGGAAGCACTAGACAGCTGTTTAGTTCTATCGTGGGATTCCTCGTGAATGCGCACTTTAGAGGAGTCTCACAATTGGACGAGACAGCCGTGCAGTGCCTCCAGGTTCTCTATGTTGGTCTAGCTTCAAATGATTCATGATTTCAACTATAATAATTAATAAAATCTCCACAAAACCCGCTTCTCATAATAATAATATGTTTACTAGTAACAGATGTCAATAGACATATCCTGGAGTTCTAGTGAGAAACAGTGACCAGTGGAGTACAACCAGATCAATTTTGAGATAGTAACTTAATGAAGACAATGATGGATTTGTAACTCAACTTCGTGGATTGGTTGAAGTTAGATATTAACACCATTGGATGCTGGCCGTCTCAATGGATTAGAAGTTAAGCGCTTGCGCGTAACACTGATAGGTCTTGGGTTGGAATCTCGTGAGGTGGGATTGTGGATGCGCACTGATGAGAAGTCACACAATAGGACGAAACGGCGGTTCAGTGCTTCCATCTATAAGAATCACTGGTAACATTAAACTATACTGCCGACCTTTGAACGAATCTTAAATGACCTTGAGAAATATTAGCCAATCAGAAGATAGTTAGTATACAGTTAAAATATATTATGCAAAACCAAAGAATTAAAGTGGAAACACTTCTTTTACATGGGTCAAAAAATTCTCAAGGTCAGATATAGGTTCAGAAATTCTAAAATCATAGTGCATACGGTACAGGAACACATCCATATGGCTCCATAGTAGTCGACCTCTGAAACCATGATAAGGACTCAAAAATTCTTTTAGCCCCGACCACATAGCTTCAATAATGTTAGTATATTGGTATGGTTTACGGGTTAGGGTTAGAGTTAAGATTTAGGTGTAGGGTTATGGGTGAGACTGTAAGTTATGGACAACCTTTGAGCGACGCTAGAGTGACTCTGAGAGTGTCAACATAATAACTAGGACCAAATAAGGGTTATAAACCTGTGTGAAGAATTCAAATTATGATTAAGGCTAGGAATTGTACTTAGGGTTTTCATCACGAACTGACATCAGCTATAATGCCAAAACTCTATTTATCCAAATGGATAATTGAATTTCGCGCCAAAATCTTATGATGACTTCTATTGTAGACGCTAAATTATCACGTCTTCCCTAAAACCCGCTGTAAACCGACCGTACGTAAGCATCAGGTGCCGAACTTAGCGCCGTGACCTTGAAAACCCACGAAAGCTTCTGATTGGCTCGGCAGTATAGTTTAATGTTACCGAATCACTAAATTCTCCACAAAACCCCTTTCTGATAAAACAAAGTATACAAAGTATATAATTAAAACATTAAAATAATATCAAGTTCACCTTTTACATTTCTCAAATATTCATTACAATCAATATAAGAACTTATATTACAGACGCAATGATAAAGAGTTTCTAATTTGAATAAAAAGTGCAGGAAATAACTCTTAATGAAAAAACGGGGGGGGGAATACATCTACAACATTTAAAAAATATCACAGTACTTTTGATCAATTAAATTTTATGATACAAATACAAAGAAAGAAGAGATAATTCTCTGTTTGTTTTACTTATTATAGGAGAGGATAAACCAACTTCCAGTAGAAGAACTTCAGAAAAGATCCTGGAAGTGAATAGAATATACATTTCATAAATCATCAAACTATATCATGAGATAAGCACTGAATTGGGAATCCTGAACAGGAAAAGAAAAAGCAGGAGGGGGGTAAAGTCAAGGATTATACCACATCAATAATTGAAAGTAAATATGAAAAAGATAAAATAGTAACTGGGATTAACTGGGAAAGATTGTCCAGGATAGAATTAGATGAAGAATGTTGATGAGTTGCTTATAGCTCCCCTATGAAGGGTAACAGATGTAAGTAAGTAAGTAGGTCAGTATGTTTGTTTTATTGCTTGTATAGACATTTTACAAAAAGAAATTACAATCATCTTTGAAGTAAAATATATAAAAAAATGAAAAAAAACCTCTAGACAAATAAACCAATCAAATAAAGATCATTAAACAATTTTTTGTTTTTTTTGGGGAAAACGTTCACCTTTCTACCATTAAATGTTGTAGTTGAAAGACAAAACTACGTGCCAATTCTAATAGTGTGACACAATCATGTTGTTCTGTTAATTCTGAAAAAAGCAATGAAAAAACAAACAAACATAGTTATTGGTGTGCAAAGATGGATTGTGGGTAGCAGTGGAGTCCAGGACAAGGCGCGTTTCGTTCTATTTGGGACTCGTCAGCTGTGTGTACCTTCATCTCAGAGTTGATGTTCACTCTGAGACTCGAACCCAATACTTTTCGTTACAGACGCCATCGCGTTACCCACCCAGCCACTGAGTCCTGATATCTACTTGTTTGTGCAATGGGTCGAAGTTGAAATTTACTTAGTATTGTTTGTTTGGATCTTCTCATTGATGTTTTAAGAGACTGACCAGTTTCAGTATTAAAAACATCAATGGGAAAATTCAAGCAAACAATACTAAGTAAATTTAAGCAAAGTTATTGTTGGTAACCTGTTGGTCATAACCGAAACAGTCTGGTACGGATGTAGATTAGCCAAAGTTGACATTATAATATCAAAAGGATGAAATGAAACGAACAAGATAAATATCAAATAAATTAAATTAATAGTGATAACAATGTTCAAGTCAGTCAGCTATAACGTAGGACCAGGCACATATATGCAACATTCCAAGTTGACATACCTCATTAGCACAAAAAAATGAACACCGGATTCATAGAAGTAGTTAATTTATTGGTGGTAATATATAAAAGATAGGTTGTATGTAAGGATATAGTATAGGAAGGAAGTTATGAAGCCATTTTAATCTCAAGGTCTAAGGGAAGATAAAGAGTGTATACACCTGTGCCATTGTGATCGATTCTGAGCCATGTCACTCACAGTCTCCAACCATTGGTTAAGATAGTCACGCAGACTCCAACCGAGTAGTCTGCATCTACCAATATGGCTCAAGGTAGAAGTTAGTAACTTCAAGGACTGATTCCACGTTTTGTTTTGGCCGTCCCTAACTTTCTTTCAACCATCGCCAATACTAGTTAGCATAGCACGTTGTGGTAATCGGTGTTCACGCAACAGTAACACACGCGGCCCAACCATCTCAGTTGATGAAGTTTCATGACCTCATCAACTGATTTAGCATCATTCCCTATTATCATATGTCTAACCTCACTATTATTTACCCGGTGATCCTAGCAGATGCGAGCAATATTTCTAAGACATCTGTGGTCAAATACCAGTAACTTACGAGTATCTTCCACTCGTAACAATGTTAATTAAAAAGGATTAAAAAAGGATCTGTGATAATGTGATCTATTGTCAACTATTTTACCCATGGACTGCAAGTACCGGTAGAGGTTATCACATGAATCCCTACTAAGTAGTTTGGATCCACCTACTTCGTTCAAATTAGTGATCATCTAATTTATGGAGTGATGTTATGTCTTAGTTTGACTGCCCTAGCTTTTTTTCTGATTTTCCACACCAGCTAACATAGTCTGTCAAAGTGGTTAGTGGTTTTCTATAGGTAATACAAATTCCAATCAATTCAGTCGATGAGGATTTACAACCTTATCAACTAACTTGTCATCTTTGCCTGTTGCCCTATACTTACCCTTAATTTATTCCCCTTGCTACTTTTTGTGTCTCGCATTGCACCACTTGACAATTAGTCAGTAGTCTGAGTTATATTCAACCATTTATACACGGTCATAACGAAAACTCATTCGTTTTTTAAAACTAATTTGCCCTGACATTTGCAGTTTTACTTATCTCTTATGTCATCTTTTGTGTGTTGTATTCTTTGTAACTTTGTATATCTTCAACGAACTGTTTCTATTAAAAACTTAGCAACCAAGCCATTTTCAGTATCTGTTGATGTTCTTCGATGGAATGATTGCCTTGTTTTCTGGCACGCTATCTATTTGACCGTAATTTTGACAACATAATTTGAGTCTGGAAGCCTTAAAGTTAAAGGTTAAAAAGTTGATTTTGTTCCATCTTATAAGTCCATACATATTGAGAGATTGGAACTTCTAAAATCTTATTTCTGAATCAGTAACACAAGTGTCTGATGGTCAATACGCGATGGATAATCTGAAGTCTTCTCCATTATAAGTAATTCTTTTAAATGAAGTGCCATTTTCAAAAGTAATCAATGCTATAATGAGTCATTACTGACGAATTCTTTTTACTGAATGAAAGAGACAGTAACTTTTTTGGGCCATTACTAAACTCCCATAATCTTTGGCATTTAGAGTGAGTAATCAGAGACTGTAATCTCAAAGGTAGTTTATATACAAAAAACAAAAAAAGTATCCACAGAAATACCAGTGACATTCTGTGAGGACGGTTCACAGGTGAAGTTGAAGAAGCTATAAGAAGTCAAGAAGGAACTGAACATATTTCATCCAATCAGCTTTTGGAAAAATATTACAGAATCACTACGTGTAGCTTCCCTATCGGACAATGCTAATAACCCTCTGTGTGCGGACTGGATCACTATAATGATGATTTCGTTTCTACTAAAAACTATAAACACCCGACAGTTTTGTACCATAATTGACACTGTTTGGAATAACATTCCTTCTACTTGTCATCTGTTTTCTGATTTTGTGACTTGGTAGGGTTCTAGAGTTCGAGTGCTCAAGTATTACGCGACATACTAAGAAACCAAATTCGAGATATAACACTTTCAAACTAGGGAAAAGCAGGCTCCTGAATATCATAATTCGTCGATATCTGCATTTCTTTTCAAGATGCTACCATATACACTACCTTAAGAAAAGTAACATTTAATCTTTCCATGGGATTTCAGTAAATGCTACCGCCAATTAGAGAACGGCGATCTACCGATCGGACAAATTATACAAGAAACCCGTACGAGCAGTCTAAAGTACTTCTAGGTCCTTCTTTCTGCTTAGGTCAGTCAGTTAAGTCCAGAACATCAATCTCAGCCTCTGCAGTATGAAATATTTATTTCAAACATACTGGGTTTATATACCAAACAGACAGACTACATCGTACCATAAAATAGAAAATAACATTTGTACAAGACTCAGTCCAAGGTGGCTATGAATGTGGGAGGTAGTAACCAATAGACTAGGTATAACTCAAGAATGGTAAATCGTATAATAACAGTCTATAGGTCAAAATAAAGCTCATAATGAGAGGTATACGAATACGAGTAGTTTTGTTACTTAACAATTATACAATAGGAAATATACATAACATATTGGCCCATAAACGGATTCCAAAGTTACCATTCATTATTCTTATAGGAACATAACAGATTTCTAAACCTCTTCTAATAATATCCAACAGTTTAAGGAACATAATGTAGTGAACAAGAACATCCCATGGGAACAATCAAATGTATTTCCATACAATACTACAGAATATCTTGGTGAGATCCAAGAACCATACAGTAGATACTTTATTTATAAAATATCCATCAATTGTCACAGACTTCGCTGTTCCTTCATTTCCATATCAATGACTCTCTGTTCTCTTTGATTTCCCTCAATCTTATACCTTCAAATACTTCACTTTCGACTGGATAATACATACTACTTATATCTATCAACATATCAGTAGCTTACACACACACACACACACCATAATCATACAATTCAAATTAATAACTTACCATTATAAAATCGTATAATTTCTGTTATATCCATATTATAATAAATGATAATATCACGATAATATTCAATTAATGCTAAAGCGAAAAATATTCCAAAATCATAAGTGACTAATTGACGTGATGCCCATATTGTTTCCCATACTGGAAAGATATCATTATATTGCAATTCTAATAATACAAAAACAAACAAACAAACAAAGAATTACTACTAATATTTAGGGTTATAAGTAGTATATTGATCATAGATAGATGCAAGTAAACAACAACAAGTGAATCCAAACTTCATCCCATTGCACAAGCAGGTGACTATCAAGACTCATTAGCTGAGTGGATAACACGATGGCGTTTGATGTGAACGGTGGTGGGTTCGAGTGAACATCAACTCTGAGATACAGGTACATCAAGCTGATGAGTCCCAAATAGGACGAAACGCAAGTCCTGGATTCCACTGCTAGCCAATGTCCATCTGTGCTTATTGAACAGTCACTATTAATATTTAGGTTTATAAGTAGTATATTGATCATAAATAGATATTAGTTGAAGATATTTATAAAAATCTAGTGGGAATCTAGAGAGCTGTTTCTTTATAATAATGAGATATCACAGCAGTGCGTAACCAGAATTCCCAAATTTTGTAATGAACGCTTAATCTTTTAAGCAATTATATATAGTTGAAATCATGAGTCCATTGAGGCTAGACCACCATGAAAAACCTGGAAGCACTGGACGGCTGTTTCGTCTTATTGTGGGACTCCTCATGATTTCAACTATAAAAATTACTAAAATCTTCACAAAACCCCCTTCTGATAATAATCATATATTCACTGGTGACTGCCTTCAAGAGGTATTTATTGGAGTTCTACTGAGAAGCAATGACCAGTGGAGTTCAACCGGGTCTATTGTAAGATAGTAACTAACTGAAGACAATGATGGATGTGTTGCTCAATTTCGTGGATTGGTTGAAGTTAGACATTAACAGTGTCGAACGCCGGCCTATTGGTCTAAAGATTAAGCGTTCGCGAATGACTGATAGGTCCTGGGTTCGAATCTCACGAGGCGGGATCGTGGATGCGCACTGGTGAGGAGTCCCACAATAGAAGGAAACGGCCGTCCAGTGCTACCAAGTTTTTCATGTTCGTCCAGCTTCAATGGAATCATGATTTCAACTACATGAAATTACTAAAATCTTCACAAAACCCATTTTTGATTTCAAACAATTAGTTGAACATTACAAGTTTGAGTTTTTTTAGCGAGAGAATATGAGAATGTCATCTTGAAGTAAGTCATTAGTAAGTAGGAAATTATCATTTAGACGAAGTGGTTTTATTGAGATTATTATAATTTGTAAGGGGAATGATATCAAAAGTTAAAATATACGATATGCTGATCTTGAGTGGTGCTGAATACGACATTTTAATGACTCTTACTGGCTGATAACTAGCTAGACTGTTAAAACTAAGAATCTGTTTATCTATGTATTTGAACACATAAATATTGATACAAACGGGCACCGAATACACATGCACAACACAAGTCACTTGATTTGTGTTTAAGCTATGATACTGACCGGGTGCCCAAACCGAAGCAGGTGGTTTCCGTAGGAGGCCACACCCGGAGCCTTCCACCTGGAAATCTGATCCACAAGGCAGTGAAGCATCGTGAGGAGATGCAATCCTATGGTAGCTGGTGACTAATAATTGGTTCATATGCCATTTTTCCCCTCAGGAGCCTATGATCGCCATTGGTTTGGAATCAGGGCTTTCGAATTCCCCTAGGTCGATTTTCCGTGTCCACCGACCTGATTCAAGTTTCAGACATTCCCTTTCAGTCCTCTCAATTCCGTGAACAGCATTAATGTCATGAGAGGGTAGTGAGCAGGACTTCACTATTAGTGGTTGTATACGTGTGGCCATGTCAGCTTTTTTGAGAGGGAAAGCTGGCTCTCCCCATCTTTGGTCGTAACAGGACATTTGGGAGCAAGGCACTCAAGCCTGCTATGAGTGTGTTAATAAGATAGTTGCAACGGTTTAGTGTATATAGTAGTTTTCTACATCGTGAAAGTCTATCAAATTTTTGGGTAAAAAATCTCATTCATTCAAGAGATGATCAGTATATATTTAGCCAATTTATTGAGTATTGGTTACTGTAATAAACGTTTTTCAATATTTTCAGAATATTTTGTGCAAATCTACTGGAAGATTCATTGAACGATATTATAAGATCAATAATTAAGATCCGTTTAAATGATCCAGATAAGTATAGGGGATTAGACTTTGGAATTTTTCCTCATGAAAGAACACATTATCACGGTCTCAATTGACTTGGCTGTATGGTAAAGTCTTATCGCGTTAGATTTACATTACGGTTGATATCGAAGTGAGTTTTAAGCACTTATATTATCCAGCTCTGAAGAATTCAGTCTAAACTTCATTGATCCTAAAAAACCAACTTTCAGACAATTTAAATAGGAGTGTTATCGTTTCATTCAGTATGCCTATTAGCTAGCATTGTATTTGAAACTAGTATTTCAGAAGGATCGAGCCCCTAAATACCTTGGTACGGCCGAGAGTGGGGAGAGTACGCTGTCCCTCTTCAAATACTCTCAAATGGCCACACGTATATACCCTCTGCCAGGGAAGTCCTACTCACTGCCTTCTCACAGTGCCGGGGATGTTGTTTACATAACTGAGAGGACGAAAAGCGAATGTCTGGCGCTTTAACCGGGTTGGTGGACACTCTCCGTGTTCACCTAGGGGAGTTGGAACACCCTGATTCCAAATCATTAGTGCACATAGGCTCCAGTATCCTAAGGGAACAAATGGCGTATGAATCAATTTTGGTCACCGGCTACCATGGTACTGAATCTCCTCACGATGCTCCACTGTCATGTGGATCAGACATTTAGGTCGAAGTCTCCGTGTGTGGCCCCCTGAGGACACCACCTGCTTCGGTCTGGGCACCCGGTCAATATCACAGCCCTCACACAAATCAAATGAGATTTGTGTGCGTATATGTATTTGGTTGTCGTTTGCACCAATATTTATGTGTTTAAATAAATAAATAATATGAAAATCAGTGGTAGATCCTCATAGTTCTGTTGCATTTCTTTATATTAAGATAATGAAGTTAAGGATCTGGTTGATTATTAAAAAGTGAATATTCTAGAATAGCCGTTGTATTGAAGCATAAGACCACTGACTGTATGAAAATGTTAGCTATTGTGAAAGCAGTATCGCTGTTATGCTGGTTGTCTGAGGCAAGTACCTCACTTCCATCACACCTCTAACCAATCAGCAGCAAGACTTCACCCTCTAACCTTGTGTTTGCTGCTTTTAATCTTACCACTGTTCAACCGACTTGCCCAGAATAGTAGGACTTTGATGAACGATTATTCCAACCAGTATAGCCCCATTAGTTCATCATGATAGGCTTGCCCGACCATTATATCAAAGTAGTAGTAACGGTCAGGTTGCTAATTAGCATTCGCCATCACAGCGAATTTGAATTGTTGAAAGAAATTATCCTTTTAGTGAGGTTTAGATCCGATATGACTTATACTTGGTACAATGTGAATGTGCACATTCTTCCTTAAACTAAACATTTCTAGGCTATTTGAAAAAAGTACACTGATAAACAAAACTGACAAATATCAAGTATTCATTATCTTCAGTACCTACCTCGTTTAAAGTCTAATAATAACCAACGATATGAAAATAGCAACTGTCCTTCTGGTACCTTTTTAGCTAGAAGATGATTCATTTCTGGATCAAAGATCTAAAATAAAGTAAACAGAACAATTCATTAGAAGCTTCATTTTGAAGTTGAAACCAACACACAGTTGATGTATAGTTAATGAAAGTAAATATGATTGACCGAAAATAACAATCAGCTGTATCTACCAATTTCCACTCTGTCAGTCAGTCAGTCAGCTATAACGTAGGACCAGGCACATATATCCATCGGTCCAAGTTGTCATACCTCATTAGCACAACAAAATGAACATAGGATTCATAGAAGTAGTTAGTGTAGTGGTGGTAATGTATAAAAAAAAGATTGTATATAAGGATATAGTATAGAAAGGAAGACAAATATGAAGCAACTTTAATCTCAAGGCTTAAGGGAAAATAAAGAGTGTATATACATTCATTATTGACAAGTAGTTTCGTGTCATATAAGCACTCATTAGATTCAGTTGAATCATTTTTAGGTGGAACGATTGCTACGAAATTAGCATATCGAACATCTTGTTTCAAATATAGTACAACACGATTCCATATATTTAAAGCAATGGTATAAATCTCCTTTTGTTGCATATTGACTTCATTCAATTGTTCACTAGTTGAGTTCCATGTATATAAACCCAATAAATATGGCCATACCTATACGTGATAGAATTAAAGGAAAAATATTGTGGATTCGGTCAGTCAATCAGTCAGTTACAACATAGGATCAGGCACATATATGCATCGATCCAAGTTGACATACCTCATTAGTACAACAAGATGAACACTGAATTCATAAAAGTAGTTACTTCAATGGTAGTAATATATAAAAGATAGGTTGTATATAAGGATATAGTATAGGAAGGAAGTTATGAAGCCATTTTAATCTCAAGGTCTAAGGGAAGATAAAGAGTGTATACACCTGTGCCATTGTGATCGATTCTGAGACATGTCACTCACAGTCTCCAACCATTGGTTACGATAGTCACGCAGACTCCAACCGAGTAGTCTGCATCTACCAACATGGCTCAAACTAGAAGTTAGTGACTTCATGGACTGATTCCACGTTTTGTTCTGGCCGTCCCTAACTTTCTTCCAACCATCGCCAATACTAGTCAACATTGCAGGTCGTGGTAATCGGTGTTCAGGCATACGTAACACGTGGCTTAACCAATCTGTGGCCAATCACATTTACATTTCACTATCAGTCAGTAGACTCAACTATATTAAGGTATAGATTATTCAGAGAGGAAAGATAGCTACATTTAACAAAACAGCCTCATGAAATTATTACACTTTCTTCCTTCTTAGAAGACGATCGAGATCATTTCTGGTAGCTCTTTGATCACTTTCACAGTATGCAACCATAACGTACATTCTTTTAACTTCAATAGAACTGATAATCACGAATGACAAAATGCTGCTGAGTTATCGGTCGGACCAGTGACACACGGAGACCGTATGAGCAGTCTAAAGTACTTGTCCATCCTTTTATCTGCCTAGCACAACCAGTTAAGTGCACAACACTAATCTCAGCCTCTGAAATATGAATCATTTATTTCAAACATACTGGGTTTATATACTAAGAATATATACCAGAATATGAAAGTGAATTACTACAGTGTAGCCTTTAATCACAAGTTTATTAATATATCGATTTATAGGTAAAATATTGACGTTTGAAACGATGGTCTAAGGGTTCAATTTTCAATGTCAACATCAATACTATGATGGGGTGCATCCACCTGACCAATCCCAAATAAGACAAAAAAATGTCCATTCTGGATTCCATTGCTATCCCCCCATCAAATATAATAAGTCTTGGTTACTACTTATGACTAATCTAGTATATTTTAGTGACATATATTTTATAGATCAGAAGGGGTTTTGTAGAGATTTCAGTATTTTCATAGTTGAAATCATGAGTCAATTGAAGCTAGACCACCATGGAAAACCCGGAAGCACTGGACGGCCGTTTCGTCCAGTTATAATCAAATTTTAATCTGGGTAAGAGTTTTTAAGTGGTTCACAATGGGATCATTTACAATGAAACGAAGGTATTCACTTTCAGCAACTTTACAATGCTGAGGTTGTTCATTCTCTCTATGATTAGCTTATCAACACAGTCGATATTAAGACTTACATCTTGTCGTACTGACAGGAAGCATGAAAACCCGGGTTATACTATACACGCCTGTGCCAAATCCTAAGCTGTTTATAACTAATTAATTAACTATAGTTTCTTCAGTTCCCCATTGTAAATGTACTAAGTGATAAGGAATAATTCGTTGAATTCATTGTTTTATTCGTGAGACTATAATGTATGAACGACATTTGAGCAACCCTACATTGACCATGATAATGTCCAGTTACTTACTGGGTTATAAATTGATATTAGGAATCGGGATTAGCATTTACAGCTGTACGTTAAAGTTAGAAGTTACATTTAAAGTTTTATATTATGAACCGACATAAGCTATAATGCGAAAATGCTATTTAGCCAAATGGATGGATGAATTTCGCGCCAAAATCCAAGACCAGTCATCTTAGATCTGATTGGTTCGTCTATAAATTATGATCCAGCAGTTTTATTGAGTCATTGAGAACTTTTCTGAATACAATGATAATAGTACGAGCTTTGTTCAATTGAAACAACAATAATTATGCAATGATTCTTTATAGGAATCGTAATTATTTGTAGGTATAGGTAGAGTGGATGATCAGGCCGATCATCACCACCCGGGTTACCGCTCACGTTAGATCATGGAAACAATCTTATGATCCGGGAGGCACGACGTGGATGTGCGAGTCGGGTTTTGACTCAACATGTTCAATTACATTAAACATTGCACAGCGTAAGCTATACTAATATTACAATAAAAATCCCACCTAATAAGTACTAACCCGTGAGTTTTAAAAAATAATAATGGCATAACCTTCCATTGGGAAATATGTTTCGTAGTGTTGTGTGACTTTTATGGTAATCGCAAGTCATTTCATCAAAAGAAAGGAGACAGGAGAAATATATGCGAAACATTGTGATTATATTTTTCTAAGTATCTCAGTAGTTAGATCCCCGGAAATCAACTGCATGCGGCTAGCAGATAGAATTAGTCTATTAAAACTAACCCAAAATTCATGTTAATAGATTGATATTTGAAAATATTGGCGGCAAAGAGGTTCCAGTAGGCTACTAATCAATTAGGTTTATACCAGTGTGGGTTTGTGTAGACTGTTGAAATCCGTTGAAATCACGAACTGATCAAAATAAGTCAAATATGAAAAAAAACTGGAAGCACTGAATGGTCTTTTTGTCCTAGTATGTGATTCCATAGGGGTTCATATCCACGATTCAAACACAAAGGGAAACCGGACAGTTGACTTTCTGTCTCCGACACAGAACTATTAGATCATTGAGATATTATCGAGTGGTATATAAGTCTAAGTTTAGTCGGTCCTAAATATTGTATAACCATCTTTGATTATTTTCGGTGGGTATCCTCCAGAACTTTCGTCTCAAAGCTAGTCATTGACAAGGCCTAAAAAATTGGATCTTATCCCAGCCATCTGAAATACGCATTATTTTTGCTTCACTCTCGAGTTGGCTTCCCCCGTCATCTCCAAAGCGCGTGTCATTTTGCTTCTCTCTCGTCTATTTGCTTCGTCACTCTGATTCCCTGGCCAAACCAATGAGTGTAGAAATTATATGTATTCTAAATCCATTCTCGTATTTGACTTATTTAACTCCGTTATTCACCAACGCGGATAAAGTCATTTATTACAAACGAGGATAGACAGTACGTATATTTTGACAACAAACAATCATTCATACGATAAAAAAAGAAACAGAGTAAAGCTACTGCAACATATAGGTAATCTCGACCAGCGAACTCAAGATAATTGGCAAGTAGTATTTGGAACACACAACAGAATTGGATGCCTCGCCGAGCGAACACGCAACAGAATTGGCGCACAAATCAAGTATTCGACGCCGCATTAACAGCCGATTAGTAATATTGATGTTCATATTACCTATTCATTCACATGTATATCTGAATGCTGCATCATCCATTACCTATCAAAACTATTCGATTACTGCGATTAATATTCTATTCCCATTGCATTTTACATCAGAACATAGAGTTTACAGCCAGTCTCTCAAAGATACACTCTTGTTCGTCACATTCATGTCAGTCTCACTCGCCGTCATCGATAATCATATGTAACGGTATTTTTATCATGCCTTAATACGGTTTCGTAACAAACGGGGTTCAGGGCATATCCCTTTAACTACACAAACTACGCTAGGTTTCATGACCACAAAGGAATACGACTCCGCATATATGGTCTTCACAGTCACTATCCTGTTCCTCTGGTCATTCTACTGATACATATTTAAAGATAACTCAACGCAAGCGAAAATGTAAACTGACTTCGCATTTTATTATCATTATCATTAGCAGTACAGCAATGAATATCACTCATTGATGCAGTCATCATTGTATGGCTGGATTATTTTTATCCCACATGAACTCCAGGTATGTTAATTCTAATCCGTTCATCGCCAATCGACACTATTTACTCTACTGCGGCTTATCAGAACATATTCATATTTCAGTGTTCTTTATCATCATATTCAGTCAGCACCACAGACCAATTACTGTCTGTTGAGTCTGCATCCGGAGAACTCCAACAGAGCCTCCAGAGGCTCATTAGGAGCCACAGCCAATCAGAATACGGTGGAACATTCTAGAGTTTCAACGTGCCGTGATACTATTGGTCGGTATCATAATATGTCGTTAATAGATTGGCTAACATCTATAAATACCTATGATTTTCTGTAACAAGATTGAACCTTGCAGTAAAGTGTTTCTCTCATACTCGTGTCTTCTCTCTGGTGTTCAGGTCTCTGAATAGTTCTAGCCTGGAGTTATCAGAATAGTTTAGGATCTGAATATGGCGTTCAATTTACAAGACGTATCAGTGGCGACGGGAAAATGACAATGAATATTTCTTTGGAGCAATTAGAAGCCCATGTGTTGCGTCAAGAAAAACGGTTTGAACAGTCTCAAATCAGAGACATGGAAACCCTGATGCAGAAATTCTGCCTGTCCGGGAGAAATCCTGCTTTTAGTGAATCACAAGTTTCACATACTGAATCAGTCATTAATGCCATTCATGAATTTAATTTTGATGGTGTAGCAGGTATAACTTTTGAGTCGTGGTTTAAGAAGTATGAAGATTTGTTCTATATTGATCTTCACAACCTGGATGAAGCTTCTAAAGTCAGAATACTTCTGAGAAAACTTGGGACTGTGGAACATGAACGCTACAGCAACTTCATTCTTCCGAAGAACCCACGAGATTTTAGTTTGGATGAAACAGTCAAAACCCTGTCTCAAATCTTCGGAGTACAAACATCTCTATTTAATATCCGTTATCAGTGCTTAAAGTTAACGAAAGAAGCGAGAGATGATTGAGTGAAACATGCAGGAACTGTGAACCGTGAATGTGAGAGATTCAAATTGTCGTCCACGTCTGAGGACCAGTTTAAATGCTTAGTATTTATCTGTAGCCTGCGTTCACCTAATAATGCTGATATCCGAACCAGAATCCTAAGCAAACTTGAACACTGCCCTACGTAACCTTGCAGGAAATAACTACCGAGTGCCAAAGGTTAGTGAACTTGAAGCATGACACCTCAATGGTAGAAAACGGTAACTGTTTCCATATCGTCAATGCAGTCGAGAGAAAATCCTTGCAAGGTTCCAGCACGCATAATTATCGTAATAGCGGCGACAAACCACCATCTCCATGCTGGGCATGGGGAGGCTGGCATTATAAAATGTTTTGCCCGTATAAAGGACATTGTTGCAGTAAGTGTCATCGAAAGGGCCATATAGAAACCAGCTGCAGAAAAAGAAACTATAAACGACATTTTGCAAAACCTTACTTCAAGAAATACGGGTCTGGGGCATCAAAGAAAAAAATATTGATATACATAACAAAGCTCAAAGTTGCCACCAAAGAAAGTGCGTAACCTTGAATATTAATAAACATCGTAGTCGACTTCAGCTTCATACAGCTTCTGACATCACTTTAATAAGCTCAGAAACTTTGAGGAAGAATAAGCGACCCACAGTGCATCAAACAACACAACTAGCACATAGTGCATCTGGCGGAAAGTTAAATATTGTTGGGGAAATACCTTGTATTGTGTCTAAAGGTGCGGTTACGACAAATGCAACCATATACCTTACGAAGAACCCAGGACTCGAAATATTGGGTCTAGATCTTATAGAAACACTGAAGCTAGCAGAACATTCAATTATTAGCCAATTAGTAGCCAGAAAAATACCGTGTTGCAAAGACATCACAACGTGTTTAAAGAAGGATTAGGAGAATGCACGAAGGCTAAAGCAGTGCTAACTTTAAAACCTGCAGCTACTCTCGTTTTTCCACCTAAAAGACCTGTGCCCTATGCTTCCCTCCCAGTGGTTGAACAAGAGATAGAACGACTTCATAAATTGGATGTCATTGAGACAGTGAATTTCTCAGAATGGGCTGCAACTATAGTGGTAGTAAAGACTAATGGTAGCATCTGTTTATGTGCTGATTACTCAACCGGGCTAAACGAAGCCCTAGAAACTCATCAGTATCCACTACCCCTACTTGAAGATCTTTTTGCTAAGCTGAATCATGGTAAGCTCTTTTCA